TTCCCTACAGCAGCTCGTGGGCTGATTTCCAGACTGAATTTTTTCAGTCACATCATTTTTTAATGAGTTGGGGAAACATCCGAGCACTAATAAATGCATTATTAGTGAGGACACCCAGTAACACAATGTGTTGCACGAGACAGAATTAACTGCAGGGCCAAATTTCGGCTTCAGGGGTCCCGCAGTTGGGCAACGCGGAGCTCTGGCAAGCGGGGACGTGCTCCGGGAGAGCAGCACGGGCATTACTCACCTGCCTGAACTTCTGGTAGATCACACCAAACTTGAACGTGTTGTTGACCTCATGTTCATCATAAGACACTATCATCTGGGAAGCCTGCAGCACAGCAAAATATGAATGATTTCACTCCGCACTTCAAAACGTGATGTCCAGAAGAGCAAACCCCGCTCGGCACTTGCTGCTGGCCGGGCTCACAGCCCCGCTCGGCACACTCGCCGTCACCCGCTGGCCACAGTATGGCTCCTCGCAGCAGGCAGCGGGTACAGCAACGGTGCAGCAGTGCCTGAGGGAGCGGGAAGGGGCGCAAAAGCCAAATTTCCCCATAATTAGGCCAAAAGTTTTCAACAGTGGCCCCAGTTTTGGTTATCAACATCGCTGCAGCCTCTGGTGCCAACGGTCCCCCGGGATGCCCACGGGCTTCGGGTGGGCACGAGCTGCAGCCCTGGTGTCCAGGCATGGCACGGGGTGCGGGGAGCAGGTTTTCTGGGGGACATTTGGGGCCCTTTGGGTGGAAATAAGGGCAGTTCCTGCAGCCCCTCAGCTCCACGGTCCCAGTCCCGCTCTGCAGGGACTGAGTCAGAGGCGCTTTTCTTCCCTAGCTGGGCATCGGCGGCTGTTCAACTTGCAGATAAGGGTTTGATAGCAACACCAATAATGCCAATGGATGAACAAAATCGGTTTGACGCTGTCTACATCAAAGGGGGGTGAAACTGCCTCATAACTTAGTGCTGTGCTGCCACAGGAAAGGTCTTGCACATAAAAGGTACTTGAAAATGATGGATTTGCTTTGTAGCTTCCCAGGAGCGGGTCGTCCCAGCAGCACAAGAGCACACAGGAGGAAAAGCAATCCCAGAGTGGGCAACGAGTCAGTCCTGGTACGTCACCAGTGGGGACTGCCACTCTGTCCCCCACAGTGACCCACCTGCCTCTGCATCTCTTCCGGCAGGACTTCTCAAGCACCAGCTCAACCCATCTCACCGGCTTTCAAGCAAGCCTTAAGGCATCAAGGCAAGATCCAGGTTGGTCTTATAGCCCACAGACCTGTCCCTCCTTCCCCACGATCCAAGGGCAGATCAATACCAAAGTGCCATCAATCCTTGGTGGCCATTCAACAGAACGAGATGGTGGCATGCACACGCCATCAGAAGGCCGTGGGCTAACCTGCTGCCCAGAGGCAGGCACGGCCGCCACCACTGCTCTGCTCACATCCCCTCTGCAGCCAGGTACAAGGGTAGAGAGTTAGAAGGATGCAGTACAAATATCCAACCTATGTGCCAAAGTAGCCATTGGGTCTTGGAGAAAAGGGGAGAGTTAACCCTATCTGACCCCCTCTGATGAATACACGACCGACTTGGGGTAGGTTACCTCACCTTGGGGTACAGAACTGGGTTAAACTTCAGCCCGGAGGCATCGTCGCAGAAGGCCTGTGGGCAAGGGGAAAGGGCAGTCAGTGCCGCGTCCCTGGGCGTGCGGAACAGACACCCCTGTCCTGCAGAAACTCCCCGGCATGGCTGTGAACGTCTCATAAAGGAGCCAAATCCATCCTCTGACAGCAGCAGCTCCCCTTTTCACGTCCTCTCATTGGGATGCCCCATGGCCTGACTGGTACCCGACTGAGGATGCAGCAAGACAAGTCCCAGGTCTCTCCATGGGCCAAAGGTGCTGCCATTTCCTCACCTCTTCCCCCAGATAGCGGGTCACCTGGTTAGTGACCTGACCAGGATCAGCAGTAAACCAACAGCAGGGCCAGTGCATACACAGCCCGCCAAGCGCCCCTGGACCCAAGAGCCCAGGCACCAGTGCACAACACTGCCCAAGGCCACCCAACATCACCCAACGCCACCCAACACTGCCAATGCTGGCCAACATCACCCAACGCTGCCAACGCTGCCCAATGCTGCCCAGTGTTACCCAACGCCACCCAACAGTGCCAACGCTGCCCAACACCACCCAACGCTGCCCAAGGCACCAGGCGCAGCGGCGCAGGCTTTGCTGCGGGTATCCCAGCCCAGCCCAGCATTTCACCTTTGCAATCTGGGGGATGCTAGGGAGCTTGCTAAATCCTGCCAGGGGGATCCTTTCATGCAACGTCTTCACTTTGGACCTAGCAAAGAAAAAGACGAGCAGACATCAGGGAGTATCTAAGGCAGAGAGAGGCTGGCCGCAGCCCCAAGGGCTCGCCAGCCCTGGGGCACACACACAGCAATGCTCCGCCGGCTCCTGGGAAACAATGTTCTGCAGAATTTGTTGGGCCTGGTTAGTAAGCAAAGGCTCAATTTTTCTTCTCATCTCTGCAGCTCTTAAAATATTCATAGTTTGGAGAGAAATGACACAATGGTTCAGACACGCTGCGTCTTGTCAGCTTACAGCGGGATGGCGATAGATGTGACTGGTATTATCCCGTGTCACGGAGAGGTTTACACTCAGTTTCAGCGGGTTTAGCAACAGATCAAAGTCTCACGTTCATTAGCGGGGTCAGGCAGTCCCAGTGCAGCAACAGTGGAAGGATGCTGCTGCTGCTTCCCATCCCACCCCAAGCCCCTCCGTGTGCCACGGCCCGCGTGCTGCCAGCCCGGCGCTAGCATTGACAGTAGAAACAAAACAAGGGACTCCCAAAGAGAAAATATTTTGTTAAACAAAGCTTTTTTTTCCCCATACCTGAGTATAATCCTTAAATATTCCGTGCCATCTGCCTCCTCGCACTTAACAGAAAGGATCAGATTTCCCAGGCTGCTGGCTGTACAATAAAAATTTAAATGATCCTAAAAATAGAAAAAAAAAGCGTGTTAGCAGCGGGGGAGGCAGCTCACCGATGGCAAGGATGCTGCCCCACGCCCCGGCCGGGAGCAGAGGACTCCCCTGCCACCCCGACACCCTCCTGCCCCTCGGGGGGACAGACTCGCACCCCC